CGTCCCATAACAGTTGGTATGTTGTATTTTCATTTTTGTTTGTCTCCAGGTATTTTTAAGTTCCCTTTTGATTTCTTTTTTCATCCAATTGTTGTTCAGTAGTATGTTGTTTGGTCTCCACATATTCCTGACTTTCCCAGTTTTTTTTCTTGTAGTTGATTTCTAGTTTCATAGCATTGTGGTTGGAAAAGATGGTTGAGATGATTTCCATTCTTTTAAAATGTATTGAGGATTGCCTTGTTTCCCAACGTATGATCTGTTTTTGAGAGTGATCCATGTGCATTTGAGAAGAATGTGTATTCTGCTGTTTTGGGATGGACTGTTCTCTATATATCTATTAAGTCCATCTGCTCTAGTTTTTCGTTTAATTCCACTGTTTCCTTGTTGACTTTTTGTCCGGATGATCTACCCGTTCATGTGAGTGGAATGTTGAGGTCCCCTACTATTATTGTGTTGCTGTTAATCTCTCCCTTTAGGTGTGTTAATAATTGCTTTATGTACTTTGGTGTCCCTGTGTTAGGTGCATATATATTCCTAGGTGTTATTTTCCTCTTGGTGGAATGTCCCTTTTATCATCGTATACTGCCCCTCTTTGTCTCTCATTGTCTTTTTTTATCTTGAAGTCTGCTTCATCTAAATATGGCAACACCTGCTTTCTTTTGCTTGCCATTTGCTGGGAGTATTGTCTTCCATCCCTGCGCTCTGAGCCTGTTTTTGTCTCTAGAGCTGAGATGTGTTTCCTAGAGGCCACGTGTTTTTAGGTCTTGTTTTCAATCCAGCTAGCCTCTCTGTATATTTTGATTGTAGAATTCAATCCATTTCCATTTAGAGTGATTATTGATATATGAGGGCTTAATACTGCCATTTTGTCTCTTGTTTTCCAGTTGATCTATATTTCCATTGTTTTTCTTCACTTGTATTTCTGATTGCCATTTCAGTTTGGTTGTTTTCTTTGATGATTTTCTCAGTTTTCCCTTTATTTATGACCTGTGGCTCTATTCTGGTTCTTTGTTTAGTGGTTACCATGAGGTTTGTATAAAAGATCTCATAGATGAGATAGTCTATTTTCTGATAGCCTCTTATCTCCATTAACCTAACAGGTTCCATCCCTTTCCTCTTCCCCGTCTGAGTTATTGTTGTCACAAATTATTCTTTTTGTGTTGTGACTATAAGTGTTTATAGTTATTTTTGATGCTTTCCTTCCCTTTATCTTTTATGTTATAATTAAGTGTTTGCTAACCTGTTCTGATAGAAAGCTGTAATTTTCTGATTTTATCTGTCTCTTTATCCCCTTATTCAAGGCTTTTTAAACCTTTGCCTTTTTGTTTCAGGCAGGAGGGCTTCCTTCATCAGTTCTTGTATGGCAGGTCTAGTGGCGATGAACTCCCTCAGCTTTTGTTTATCTGGGCATGCTTTTATTTCTCCACTGTAACTGAAGTATAGTTTCACTGGATAGAATATTCTTGGCTGAAAGTTCTTGTCTGTCAGTATTTTGAATATATCATTCCATTCACTCCTAGCCCATAAAGTTTCTGCTGAGAAATCCACTGAAAGCCTGATATGGATTCCTTTGTAGGTTATTTTCTTCTGCCTTGCTGCCCTTAATATTTTTTCTTTGTCACTTACTTTTGCCAGTTTTAGTATTATATGCCTTGGAGAAGGTCTTTTTGCATTGATGTAATTGGGGGTTCTATTGGCTTCATGTACTTGTAAGTCCAGTTCTTTCCCCAGGATTGGGAAGTTCTCAGCTATCATTTCTTTGTACAAGCTGTCTGCTCCTTTCTCTTTCTCTTTTCCCTCTGGAATACCTATAATCCTTATATTGCTTTTCCTAATTGAGTCAGATATTTGTCAAAGAATTTCTTCATTTTTTAAAAATCTTATTTCTCTCTCCTCCACTACCTGAAGCATTTCTATATTTCTGTTCTCTGATCACTAATTCTGTCCTCCATAACATCACCTCTATTTTTAATTTTTTTTATTTTGAGGAAGATTAGCCCTGAGCTAACATCCACCACCAAGCTTCCTCTTTTTGCTGAGAAAAATTGGCCCTGAGCTAATATCAGTGCCCATCTTCCTCTGCTTTATATGTGGGACACCTCCTGCAGCATGGCTCCATAAGCGGTGCAGAGGCTCCCTCCCAGGATCCAAACCAGCAAACTCTGGGCTGCTGAAGTGGAGCATGTGAATTTAATCACTACGGCACCAGGCCAGCCTCTCTAGATTATTTTTTTATTTCATTAATTGTGTTCTTCATATCCAGAATTTCTCTTTGGTTTTATTTTTAGAGTTTCAATCTCTTTTGTGAAGTATTACTTCTGCTTATTATTTTCTTTCCTGAGCTCATTGAACTGTCTGAGTTTTCTTGTAACTCATCAAGTTTCTTTATGACAACTATTTTAAATTCTCTGTCATTTAGATTGTAAATTTCTGTGACTTCAGGATTGATTTCTGGAGACTTGTCATTTTCCTTCTGCTCTGAAATGTTAATGTAGTTCTTCATTGTGTTTGATGAGTTGACCCTTTGCTGGCACATTTGTGGTAGTATTGGGTTGCAGATTCTACCTGCCACACCTGGGGGGAGCAGAAGCTGTGTTTTCTGATCCCACCCCATCTACTGGAAGTTGTGTGTATAGGACTGTTGTGTGTTTGTGTGGGTGGGCCACAGCTGCTCTGCAAGTGTTTTCACGTGGGCCGGTCCTCTGCACTGGGTGGGTGAGACAGGCACCGTAGTCAGGGCCTCTATGCTTGATGGGGAACTGACTGAGCTGCTGCACACTAGGCAGGAGAGGCTCATATGCAGGGGCTGAGCTGCCACTCAAGGGATCCTGCAGGCTGCTGTGCTCCACAAGCAGGGGTGCCTTCTTAGTGAGTGGAGTGCCTTCTTGTCTGTACTGCACTAAGGCTGAGGGGCACCCACACTAGGGCTGAGCCACCACTCAGTGGGTCGCACAGGCTCCTGTGCTCTGCAGGCAGAGGTGCCTTCTGAGCAGACAGAGCACCTTCTTGCCTGCACTGTGCTAGGAGTGAGGGGTGCCCATGCAGGGACTAAGCCACCACTTGGTGGGGAGCATTTCTTCAGGTGAAGCCACCATGGCGTGGTTGGCAATTGTGAGGGCCGGACTGCAATTGTGAAAGCGTTCACACAGGCTGGGCTGTTCCTGCCTCCTCTTGCAGTCGCTCTAGCCACTGTATGAGGATCAGTGACCTGCCCCACTGCCACCAGGGAGAGGGAGGAGTGCGCTCACCTAGTTCCACTGCCTCCCGGGGATCCAGTCCACCCACCTTCAGATGTATAGCTGCGTGGATCTCTCAGAAGTCCTACTGTGCTGTGCAGGGAATCCTCCACTGGTTAATGAGTGTCCATTTAGTTGTAACTTAGAGGGGAGAGACTAAGGGAACAACTCACTCTGCCATGATGCTGATGTCACTCCTGGCACAGGGCTTTTCAATTTTCATGCTCTGTTCCCTCTGATAATTCCCCCCATCTTGGCCTGGTGGAACTCCAACTCACACTTTGGATTTTGGCTTGTCTTCCTCCAGGAAGCCTTCCTGGTTCCCTGTATCACAGGCACACACAGTGGGGGTCCTGCTCCTTCAAAGCACATGAAATTGCTGTGATTTACCATTTTTCTGTGTGATAACAGCCTCCTTTACTAGTCTGAAGGTTCCATGAAGGCAGGAAAAGGCCATTTTTTGGTCACCATTGTGTTCTCAAAACTTAGATTAGTACTTGGCACATAGTACATATTCAATAAATGATTTTGGAGTGAATGAAAAATGAATTCTCTCAGCAACCAAGATTCAAAACCTGGAAGTAATCATTGACTCATGTTGCATTTCATTCCCTGTATCCAGGTCCAAGTCTTATAACTTCCAATCTTATTATACCTTTGGGTTCCTTCTCATTCCTGCTGTTCTTACCCTTATTCAATACCTAAACTACTGCCATACCTCCCTGGCCTATTTCCTTTCTGTTTCCTACCCACAGTTTATCTTATATGATGTGATATAACCTTCCTGAAAGGCCATGTTTATCATATTATATCCCAATTCAAAAACCTTTATGGTTCCTTATTAATATTTAAAATGTATATGTTGTTTGGATTTAAAGACCTCCACCATCTGGCTCAAATCTGTGTAACTATTTTCTACTTCCGATTCCCTACAAATGTCCCACTCTTGAACCATACTGATATCCAAGAAATACATCACTTGAATCCCAGCAGCCAGTCCTGGGCCAAGAGCACTTCTCGTGTAGTCCCTTTCTCCCTCCCTCCAACTCCCATCCATGCTCTAGGTCCCCAGCTCCAGGTCTACCCGCAGGCAGCCTTATCTGATTTCACCAGCTCTGCCAGCTCTTCCCTTCTTCTGGGCCTGTGAGTTGCTCTGCCCTCTGCCTGAAGCTGTCCTCCCTTGCTATCTGCCTGGCCAGCTCTTTCCTGTCCTCTGGTTCTCAGTGTATACGGCTGATCTGTGGACAGGCCCTCCCCAGTCATCCTTTTTATTTAAAGACGTTCTCCCATCATTTACTCTCTGGCATGGCACTCTGCTTCTTTCCTTCGTGGCTCATAACACAATCCGTGATTAATCTGTTGTTTTCTTGTTTATCACTTTGTTTCTCAATTAGATGATAGGCTCCAAGAGGACCTTTTCTGCCTTGCTGTCTGAAATATCCACAGCACCTGGCCTACTGTACGGTCCATAGTGTTTATTTAATAAGTATGTTTATTAATATTATTTTATGAATAAAAGTTTATAAATAAATAATTTGCCTTCCCTTGGAAAGGATCTCCATACTCTTAACACACTTAAGTCTACATAGCTGGCAGCTAACTCTTAACAGTTTGCTCTTTGTTTTTCTTGATCAACCTTGTCTCCCTGGTTAGAATAAATGAGACTGTAGGATGCTTGACGACAATGATAACGTCATACTGCTGTGACTCCCATAATATCTAGCATGGTGGTTAAATAGACACTAAATACTTAATTAGAAATAAACTTGTCTTATTCTGCTGTATTCTGGGATATGCATATATTCTATAAATGTGTCAAAAGATACAAAAGCAGCTTTCTGCTTATGGGATTAGAAAATACATAATGTTAGCCTCAAAGAGGAAGTATGCCCTCATGTTTAGACAAAATCGTTGCAACACATAGCTTGATGGTGGTAATCGCTTCGTCATTTCTGAAAAATAGGAGTCGTAACGGAAGCAAATTGAAAAGACAATTGCGTCTTATGACTGGATTTCTTCTTAAAAGGTAAATGTATTTACCCCATGCTTTTAATCTAGATGAGGTATCATTCACCAAAAGAAAACGCCATCTTAATTTTTAGTGGTTTCTATCATCTTTTTCTTTTGAACTTTATTTGGTGGGGGGAGGGTGTGTCTGAATGGCTGCATTTGGTTAGTGGATTTTATAGCAAACAGGACGATTCTCCAGGGCTGGACAAAATGTGAAAAAAATATAGATGGCACTGTTTCTATGTTAATTTATGCTTCTGCCAAATATTCGGAGTGTTGCTTTCAAAGGGAAGTGTGTTTCCTGCTTTTCTTGGCTGGGAGCCCTAGGTAAGTATTTCTGGGATGCTTTTTCTTTCGGGTGGGATGGCCCGCCTTTCTTCTGAGGGGGCGATGGTAACATTTCTTTGGGATAGTTGTAAATTCAGAGCCACTGATGTGAAGGTTGGGATTTTACAGAAACCTACAATCCTCTCCTCTTCCACTTTCCCAGGGGTGAGGTCTAGTATAAGTTTCATATTTTGATACTTTAAAATGTCAATATTAAATTTCATATTTCAATATTTTAAAAAAACTATATGCATATTTTATGATACTCTACAAAGAGTACTGTTGACTATTAAATTAGAAAAGGAGCAAGAAGCACTAGAAAAATAGCTACTATTACTGATTCTGCAGTGGATGGACGGCTTCCTATTCTCATGGCTCAGAATTCTCACCAGATTCCCCTGCTGCCACCTTTATTATTCTGCACAGCACAATCTGAGAACGTTTTGGTGACTGTAAGGCACTTGATAATGTTGCTGTTGTATCTCGTACGTGGCAATGAGGTGTCCTCCTCCCAACCCTAGCCCATGTCCAGGGACTTGGAAATTGATTCACTTTTGAGAGCTGAACAATTAAATATGTAAATAATTAATGGCGTTTGTTGCCTAAATAAATTACCTTCAAATACAATATATATAGCAGAGCTGAAAATTCTTATCATGGGTTTACCTAAATATGAAGTAGAATTGTGGCCTCCTAAAATTGTTTTATTTATTTATTTTTATTTTATTTAAATAAAAGTGGAAACAATTTTTATCAACAAGCAAGGAACTGATTAAGCAAGCTGTACTACAGAAAGACCTATTACCACTAAAAATGCATATGGAAAGCTTTCAGTGGCATGGAAGAATGCTTGTGATAAAAAAACTTAGTGAAAAAAATAGAAGATATGAAGAAATATCTCAACTAGCTTTTAAAAAATGCATGGCAGACAAATAGTGCCTGATCTCATTTATACATGGAATCTTTAAAAACCGAAGTCATAGATAACGTAAAACAGATTAATGGTTACCAGAGGCAGGGGGTGAGGGTGGGGGAAATGGATAAAGGAGGTCAAAAGGTACAAATTTTCAGTTGTAAGATAAATAAGTCCTGGGGGTGTAATTTACAGCATAGTGACTATAGTTAATAATACCATATTGTGTGTTTGAAAGTTGCTAAGAGATTAGAGGTTAAAAGTTCTCATCATAAGAAAAAAAAAACTTGTAACTCTGTGAGGTGATGGATGTTAATTGAACTTATCATGGTAATTATTTTGCAGCATATACATATATCAAATCATTAATTTATATACCTTAAACTAATACAACGCTGTATGTCAATTGTATCTCAATAAAACCAGGAAAAAATTTAAAACTGAAAAAATTAAAAATTCATGGAAGTACAAGTAAAAGGAAATACACTAAAATATTAACAGTGGGTAGTGGGAATTTGGATGATTTTACTTTTTGCTTGTAAACGCTTTATATACTTTTTGGTACAAATAAAGAAATAAAAGAGGGAAAATATAGAAAGCTTAGCATAACAAATAGAACCATAGCTAGACAAGGATACTGGCATACTTGAAAGGACAATATGTGGACAGAATAGAAGTGTGTGATGGAGCCTATAGGGAGGACCTCCAAGGGCAAGTTTGTCAAAGTGTGCTCAACACTGTCAGGGAAGAGCGAGGCAGGAGCATCAGACCTAGACGGCACTCGATATGAAAATCATCCATTTATCTTCTCCCAAACTTACCTCAGTGCTCACCAAGCAAAATTATGGTTTTAACTGGCTTTCTTATATGTTCTGATGATAGAATACTACTCGTTACACCAACATGCTCCTTCTGTCAGTCCAGTTTGTACATCAGTGTCCTGTGAGTTGATGGGTGGTAGTTAGCGCTGGAGCAATCAGTCAATTCCTGCTGCCCTGATGAAATCAAATATCTGGACCTGCAAAGCTGAGGACCGGCTGCTGAGCTGTGGTAACCACGCCATGTGAAGTCTGTGAGCACTGGCCTCACTGGGATACCCACCCACGATTTGCCGCTCTCATTGCTACTCTTCTAGATGAAGATCACAACTGGCCCCTCCACTGCCTCTCCTTTCCAAGCTTTCTAAGAGGTACATTTTTTTTTATTCTCAGGAGAAGACAGCATGGGAGGAAGTCACTCTAAACCTGGTAAGTTCAGGACACAGCCATTACCTGCCACACTGCCAAGTTAAAATGAACTGGAATAACAGGAAACTACTAAAGGGCTGTAAGGGGACAACATTTCCGAAGTTGGAAGAATCAGATTTTACCATGAGCAGAATCTACCACCAAAAAGAGTGAAAAGGAACCAGAGAGAGCTGCCTGACCCTCCAAATTTGAGTGAAGCGTGTGTCTGTGCTCAGTATTAGACCAGCGGGGTAGTCCGTGGGAGTCTAGTTCACATCCCCCAGCTGTGGCGTGGGAATTGGGACACTCCCTGCGGCCGCCTTTGGCTGAACGCCGCTGATACTTGCCCTGTAACAAGCGAACAAACAAACAAAAGGCAGCAGTCTCCACGGCAGATCCCAAGGACTCTAGCAAATGCTCATTCTGGGTTTCTCTTGTGGTGCTCTGCTCCCTGGCCTTGAGACTCCCTGCTTAAATCTGAGGAGCATATCTCCCTAGGAGTCCCATTAAAATCTTTGAGGGAGAGACTTGAGCTGTTTTTGGGCAAAACATTTTGAGATGTTTTGGGGACACGTGGGGCTACAGAAACACCAGGCTCTTCTTTCATTTGTGGAGCTGATTGTTTCTTAAGTTCCAGTTCTAATTTTCCTGGTAAAGGACCCAGGATCTAAGAAACAATGTTCTCTCCCTTTGCAGAGCTGTAGCCCCATCAGTACTCTCCACTGGTGGCTTGGATAGGTGGGCACCTGGGGACACTTATGAAACATGGCAGACACACCAATCCCCTTCCTGTTCTCTCGTAGACAAACCCCACACCACGGCTGCCCCAACCACGACCTCCGTGCAGTGCTCCTCTGCCCACTCCAAGTAAGTGAGCATTCCCCAACACGTTTCATCTGGGACCACATGGCACTTGATTTTGTGATGACAGCTTTGCCTTACGGGCTTGGGGAGGAAGGTGTGTGGAGAAGGCACCAGAAACAGTGGGAGAACTAAATCAATCTTTTATCTTCAGAGTGTACTTCTTAACCTGGGTTCCCCCAAGCCTCAAGAGACTCACGAATCCTCCAAGCCTATGGATAAACTGGGAGCGGGAAGGGGGGCTATGAACATTTTCTGAGGGGGAACAGAGCCCACTGCTTTCACTGAGGCCCCAAATGGAACTGGAACCTGGAAGTACAACTGTTGAAAACCAGTGGGTGAAAGAGAAAGTGACCAACCAGTGTGAGCGCTGCTTCCGTGGTTTACCCGCAGGGCAGGTGGGAGAGGGTACCTTTGCTCTTTAGGAGAAGCCTTCAAAAAGCCCAGCAGGTCATCTGCTCCCTTTCTTTGCCAAAACAGCAAAGAACTTCATTTGGTCTTAGCCTTTTTTGCTGGGGTTCTACTGACACTGCTGCTGATGGCCCTTGTCTTCCTCATCATAAAGAGCTACAGAAAATGTAAGTGGTCTCCAAGAGATGGACAGCTCTTCTTTCCCTGCTGAGAGAATAGAGTTAGCCTTGAGTGAATAACGGGAGGGCGGGGATAAACCTGCGTAGCCCACCCTCTCCACAGACGGAGGACTCGAATCCCTTCACTTCTCTCCCTGCCCTCCCCACCCTCCACCTTTCCCACCTCAGCACCTTCTCCCCACCCCATCCCTTTACCCAACATTCTAGGGAGAGGGTTCTGATTCCTCCAGGCCCCGTTGGTGAGACTCGCCCCTCTTCTTCCTGACACCTGTGGCAGGTCACTCCAGTCCCCAGGCTCTGGATCCTCGCTCAGACCCTGCAGCCAAGGTAAGATGACCACACTCTTTCCAGGACGCTGGAGCTGCTGTCATTGGAATTTCAGTCTGTGCTATGGTGTATTGACTAGAATAGTGGCATTGCTCTATGGACACTGGGCACGCAGTTTTTTGAAGGGTTCTTCTGATCTCTTTGGGTATTCTCTGACCCTAATCTTTCAAGTTGCTTCTAAAGAAGCACTTGTTTCTAAAGACACTCATTCTCCCAAACTGAACTCACTCATTCCTCCTCCTCCTTTCTCTGTAGCTTTCATCTGTCCCAGAGGAGGCTCTCACGTATGCCAGCATGAATTTTAAAAGCTCGGAAGGAAAGAGAGATCACTTGACTACAAATCATTTTTCAGACTCAGACCCCGTTGTCTATGCTCAAATTAAAGCAACAAACTCCTCCTGCCGTTCCAGTGAGGCTTGAATCCAGTTCCTCTCATCTCAGCTCCATCTTCATACATCACTTTCCCTTTTTACAAATTTTGGGCCACAACCTGGGTGAAACTGCAGATGGAGTTGTTTGGGTGTGATCTTGCAATGTTAGCCAGCAGTTTTGAAGACAGAGGGTCAGTCTTTTTCCTGCCCTGGGAAAAGATTGCTGGCCCTCCCACGTGTAATGACAGCCTCCTAGCCCCATGAGGGCTGAGACTGCCCCCCTTGTCCCCTTCCAAAGTGTGTGGTACAGAGCTCAGTGCACAAAGAGTGTTCATTCAGTGTCATTGTTCAGCTTGAGAGGAGTCAACCAAATGAACAATCTAGCAAGAATTACAAATAAAAGCAAACCCTCTACAACGTTGGCTCCTTCTTCATCATTTAATTATCTGTCCCTGTCACGTCCAGAGGTCAAGGCCAAAAGTCCAGTTCTCAGAAAAGACTCACAGAGGTGATGGTACTCTCAAGTTCAGGATGACTGTGGCTCAGGTCTCGACCTCTGCCTCTAACTAGCTGCATTCATTTGGGCAAGTTTGTTAAACTTTGGGGCTGGCCCCGTGGCCAAGTGGTTAAGTTCATGCACTCCACTTTGGTGGCCCAGGGTTTCACAAGTTCAGATCCTGGCCCCGGACATGGCACCACTCAGCAAGCCATGCTGAGGCGGCATCCCACAGCACAGCCAGAAGGACCTACAACTAGAATATACAACTATGTGCTGGGGGTGCTTTCGGGAGAAAAAGCAGAAGAAAAAGAAAGGATTGGCAACAGATGTTAGCTCAGGGTGCCAATCTTTAAAAAAAAATAGTTTGTTAAACTTTTAAAGCTTCAATTCCTTCGTCTTGAAAACAGAACTAACAACAATTACCTCTTAGTATGAGAATAAATAAGATAGTATATACATAAGCACTCTGTACATGCCAGAGTTCTACACAAATACAAGGTCCCTGTTGTGTAAAGCACTATTCAAATGTGAATGTCCATCTCCTTACTACAGCATAAAAGATATGCATAACAGGGGCCAGCCCAGTGGCGTAGTGGTTAAGTTCACGCTTTCTGCTTTAGCAGCCCGGGGTTCACAGGTTCAGATCCCAGGCATGGACCTAGCACCGCTTGTTGAGCCATGCTGTGTCGGCATCCCACATAAAATAGAGGAAGACTGGCACAGATGTTAGCTCAGTGACAATCTTCCTCAAGCCAAAAAAGGAAGATTGGCAACAGATGTTAGCTCAGGGCCAATCTTCCTCACACATACAAAAAAATGCATAACTAAATTATATGGGAATAAAAACCAACCTAAACATTAATCGCCCCTCAAATCCCAACGAATAATTCCCTAGATGATCCCAGTAAAAATACCAATAAGATTATTTTTTATTCAGCAAGATTACTCTAAATTTCCTATGAAAACAGTAAACAGAAAAGCAAATCCAGGAAAATTCATAAAAATTAGCAAATAAAAGTAATACAGGAAGGCTAATCCTAACTTTTGAAGTTCTTCATTTACCTTGTTCCGGATCTTCAGCCTGCCTGATACCTAGTGATCCCATTCCCCACCTGAATTCTGAACCACCTGAGAAATAAGAACATGGACTCAGCAGACAGAGAACAGAGTACAGTCTTTATTACAGACGCGGTCAACGCTGGAGAATGGAGAGTCGATACGGTGGCTGCAGAGAAGTCGGCCTCAGAGCGCCGAACTCCGTATTGACAGAGCTGCACCAAGACCAGTCCCTACTCCCCACAACCGAACCAGTGGCTCGGCTGCCCAGGAGTTGCAGAAGAGATCGTGTGGTCTTTGAAAGCTGCACCCCAAAAATTAAGAAAACAAAGAGGAAGGGCAGAGTGGGTACCCCCGATTCCTCCTCCAGACGCAAACACCAGACAGGTCACTCCACCTCCGAAGGGGCGTCACTGAGGAGTGTTACCCTGAGGGAACTCAGTCCACACGGAAGGAAGCAGGCATGGGAGGGAAGCATCCTCCATACATCTGTTTTAAAAATATATTAAATAATATTTTTAAAAATCAAGGTAAGGAAATTAAAGTCCAAAGAGGTGAAATAATTGACCCGATGTCTCCCACACGGTAAGTGGCAGAACAAAACTTAAATCAAGTACTCTGATTTCACATTCCTCGCATCTGCCTCCATGCCAAGCTGCCCCAGAGCACATATGGTGGCTGAGAAACTCGAGAGGTAAAGTCAGGCGACCTGCTGGAGAGAGCACATTCCTTCTGAGATAGAGCAGCTGCTCCTGACAGCTGGGTTTTGAGGAGAAGACCGTGGAAGCAGTGGGAGAGAGGTTTGATAAAGGAGTGAGCCCTCTGTGGGAGCCAACAGGTCTAGGAGAAAGCCGGTTTAGGGAAACAGGCTGGTGAAGCGGCCGCAGCACAGCAGAGCGGCCGGCCGCACGAGGGCGGCAGAGCCCCAGCAACGCTCCTCGCGCACGCGCACTGGCTGCCCCAGGGCAGCACCTGCCTGAGGCTGCTCCCGCTTTCAGCTGTTGGCAAACCCTGCGCTGACGTCACACAGTTCTACCAACCCTGTAGCTTCTAAGCCACATCAGCTTTCCAGGTCAGAGCCAGCGCCTTATAAACAGCTGCAAGAGGAGGAGTGAGCTTTGTCCCATGGCCATCCCCTTGTAAGCAAAATATCAGATTCATTGCTCTTCCCTCTGTTTTCTTGAAGCTTCCCATATTAAATGGCATAGCCCTATGTTTACGAAGTCCTGGTTTTTGTGTCCCTATCATGTAAACGGCTGTGCAACGAGTATGAGGGTGAAATGAATAATTAAATAATTGACCATAGATTCAAAAGAGTTTTGTTAGGTAAGGGAAGAAAAAAGGCTCTTGAATCCTGGATCATGGAATCAGAGCAAACCGGGAGGCTTCTCGGAGGAAATAGTTTTCCAGGCAGATAAGTGTTAAATCTTCCAAGCCATCTATAGGTGTCTTCCTCTGTTGTGGCAGATGGATGTCTGCCATCTTGCCTTGCGTGGTAGGACGTCCTAACTGAGCCCAGACTGGATTGCTATTTGCAGAACCGTTGGGCTAGTGGCTCCTTCATGTAAGTTCAGTACCTGACCACAGGGGAGGGATTGGAGCTGTTTGCAGCTGAGGGGAAAGAGCACTTTTGATGTTTGATCTGGGACTCTGGGAGGGAGGGGTTCAGCTGGATGGAAACACGGAGGATGGCAGGAACAGGATGGTGTCCACACCCCACCCCTTCCCATCAGGCTGTTGAGCAGCTTGGAGCTCTCCACCTATGGAGAGAGGGGTTGGAGTGGAAGCTAAAGGAACTGTGTTCTTGGAAGACTTTGTGAGAGCCTGAACCTAAATGTGCGGGGCATGTGCAGAATCGTGTCAAGAACCAATCTCCCTGTCCCAGCCGTACTCAGACCAGAGGGCCACCTGAGTATCCTGAGCACTGAGACTGGCCCGCACCCTATTAGAAGAAACCAGAAGAGCAGGGTTTTTATGAGAGCAGCAGAGGCAGTGATGGGGAGACCCTGGGAACTCCCTGAAATAGCAGGAGAGACACAAATAGGGGGAGAGAGGGTACAGACATACAGGTGGGAGCTAAGAGTTTTGGTAATTCTGGCATTAATGACAGTATAACCTTGCACACAAGCTGCTGACGCTCAGCCTTGGTTTGTGTTTCCTGATTTGAATGACAATTTCACTTAACTTATCACACCTCGGTTTCTCATTGATCAGGAGCGGCATCTATTCAGTCTGGTGGCAGTTTCCCATACAGGGCAGTCTTTTCACCCAAAGAATCTGAGAACCACTGAGTGAGCCTATCTCCCTTTCTTTGGGTAGCACAGCATGTAATATCAATTCAGAAATAAATTAAAATATCATACTTTAAAAGAAACTTTTCCAGAAATACTTTTTCAGTGATATACTGGGAGAAGTTAGTCATACCTCGGAGTGCATTCAACACTAGTCAGGAATTTATTGGTTAACAAATAAAATACAAGTGATCTCCTGGCCCCATGACCAAGATTCTGCTCATCTTGTTCACTTCTGGCTAGCCAAAGGCATGAGAACTAAGATCTTGAGATGTTGTCTGACGGCAGCCTTGCTCAGGCAAGGCCTAGAACAGCTCCTCCAGCTCCCACCCTTCTTACCAAGTGGCAAATGATTGCTGCCAAGTTGAGAGGGTCCTTCACAACACTGAGAGGTCAGAATCAGTCCTCTAGATGTGGGTCGGTTGTCATGGTGATTCTGTTGTAGCATCACTTTATGAACCAAATGAAAGAAATCTTCAGTCATCTGTTCAGTACGAGCCATTTCCTTTGGAGGCAGGACACGTGAGAGGGGCTTCAAAGAGTGGTCTACTTTGTTGGAAATGGAAAGGGAAAACTGAGTTGAGATCTACTGCCTACCTCTGCTGAGTGTCTCCGCAGCAAAAGTTGCAAGCTTTCTCCTGGGGCCTTCCTGGGACCTAAACACTAAATTTGTTTTCAGGGCTCGTTGGTCAGTCAGTAGGAAAGCTTGGGGTATGGGGCTTGCATTCACCTCTCACCATTGGGGGATGTGAATACGACTGGACACCTTCAGAACCCAAGAATGTCAAAGCCAGAAGGGACCTTGATGCAGGCTGCCATGTTTCAACTGCCTGAGTGTGAGGCTATGGCTAACACAGGTCGTACAACTGCTTGCTAAAAAGGAACAGGGTTGCATTCCATCGCCTCAGCTTTCACAGCACCATGTGTCTCTCCTTTAGGGGACTTATTGTAGTGACAATTTTACATTTGTGTGAGTGTGTGTGTGTGCACGCAATAGTTTGTCTCCCTGCCACTCTACATTACATGAAGACGGATGCTATTTCTTTTGCTCATGTTTGTATCCCCAGCATCTAGCATGGTCCTTGTTTATTGAATGAATGAACCAATGAATGAATGAATGAATGAATGAATAAAAAGTCCTAGGGAGTATGAGAATGGGGGTCTTCAATTTATAGCGAAGTAAACAGGCCCAGGGAAGTAAAAGTTGCCCAAACTCAAGCCTTAAAGAAGTGACAATGGTTTTTGCACAAACCTAGACTACAGTGGCGTCCCAAAGGGAGTGGTCTTGGGCAAAGCTGGGAAAGATGTTGCTTTGTCTGCATCCCCCATCTCCTCAGTCCAAAGTTCTTGGAGGACAAAAGGCCAGGAATGCGAATGCTGTGGGGGCCACTACTTTGACTTCTTAGCACCCCTGCTCTGGCCACGGGGCCAGGGGAAGCAGGAGGCCTCGCAGCCTTGGCTTGGAATTTGAGACTCCTCTGGCTATAGACCCTTCTGTTTCATTAACAGCTGTTTCCAGGTTCATTTGTTTGTTCTCTCTCATTCTCTGAAATGTTTTTCCGCATTTTCACACCCAGAGGAGGTTGAAGTCTGCTTTGTAATTATGCCTGCAGTCTCTACATTGCCCAAGGTATTTCTGTGGCTTCTAAGCATAAAAAGAAAAAGCCAAAATACCTACTGGCCAAACAGTGGCGCTTACCCTTCTACCTTGTGCCTACTTGAGAGGTCAGCAGAATCACCACACAGTGGCCTTGAGGATTTTTATTTCTCTGATGCTGCCCCAAAGGAAAGATGGATAGATCCACATAGCCCCTTCTAAACGAAGTTCCTGTTCTCTGTTTATGAATGAGGGGCCCTAAAGGTAGGTAGCTGTGGGGCACAGGGCTCAGGACAGAAGAGCCAAGGAGGGAACTTACCAGAGGCGTGGGGATCACAGAAGCAGCTTGGCTGGTATTCTGGCTTCTTGCTAGGCCTTTACCTGTAATCTCCTGAGGGCAGAAGGAGGCACAGAGCTTAAAGGCCGCTCCTCCTGTGGTTCGAGACTGGGGCTGAAGCCCTTGGGCCTGTCCTCTTCCACTCCTGACCCTTCTCAAGGAGACCTTTCTATGCCTGCTTACCCAGGGGCCCCGGAAGCTCCTTTGACAGGAGCCTTGGCTTCTAGTCCCTCCAGGTGAGGAAACAGTTTCAGTCAAGGAGGAAGGCTGCCTCCCAAAGTGTGTGTGCTGGGGAGGCAGGTGGCCCTCCCGACGTGGAAGCTACAGTGTGGTTGTCTCAGGGCCTCCCTCCTCCCTGGTCTACACACACCTCCACTTACGAAGGCTCAGTGCTGTTGGTCACCCCTCATGGTGCCTTTGCCATTGTGAAGCAGAATCACCTCCAGCCCATGAGCTGGCTGCGTTGGCCTCGGGGATCCAGGCAATAAGAGGAGGGTCACATTCACTCATTTGAAAGCTGCTCCTTGACCTCTTTCATTTCCCCCCAAACTGCTACTTACCCCTTCTATTCCTTTGACTTCTCCTCCTTTTTGACAAATGACTGATTATAGAGATAATCCCCAAACCCGAGATCAACATGCAGATGATGAGAATGGACATCCTGGAGGGAATCACAGACAGATTTCATGTTCCTTGGAAGAAACCACTTTTTGTTTTTCTGCTCAGGATCCCCTTTTCTGGGATCTGTCCCCTCTGCCCCCCCCCCCCCACCCCCCACCTACTTCCAGTAGCTCCTGGCAACCGTATTCCTTTGGAGCGCCCCCATCCCCCAGACCTCATTTGATTGGACCTGGGCTGGGCATCTGACGAAGCTAGGCTGAGCCGCTTCCTCAGAAACTAACATGGAAATGAGAACAGGAGGATCTAGTCTCAGACTGGCTGGTCTCTCAACCAGGGGAGAAAGAAACTCAGGAGCTAGAAATGGACATCTTTTCTCACGATCAAAAATGAAACAAGAGGGCAGCACAGAGAGAGGGGAAGTGAACACACACAAGAGCCACAGATCAGAGATGAAGATAATCATCCATTGGTTCCTGACCATTTCTGAGGGTGGCCACATGCCTCCCTTGCATTTATGAGACACTGCTCTCTCCTTGTGATGAATTCACCTTTTTAATTAAGACAGCGAGAGGGCATTTTGCTGCTTGCAACGAAGAGTCCTAAACTATACTCTTTTGAAATAAATCGAATAGTCACATTGAAGATACAGTTCAGGTGGAGAAATGATATGCAGTTTAGAATTAGTAGGTGCAAATCAACTGTCATCCTGTGTTGTTGTTGACACCACCCCCCTACCCCACACCCCACCCCTGCCAAAGCCAATGTGTCTTCTAAAGTTATGACTCACATGGAGTGATCTGCCTTGTGGACAACTTTGGAAGCCCTGCAGCTTCTGTTCCTGTTGCCAGATGGGTCTGCATCAGAAAGGATTTGTTGAGAGTCAAGTAAGGCCCACTCCCAGGCCCACCCTTTGCCTTCTGCATCTCTGCATCTCTGCCTGTCATTCCCTCGATCTCCAGAGAATGAATGCTCTGGGTGACTGCTGGGCCAAGCAGAGGCACCAAGTATAGCTGGAGACATGTGCCCTTCACAGGGCAGAAGGCTGAGAGAACAAGTAGGGGCTGAAATCCAGCGACACTGCTTGCCAAGTTGTGCCCCCTGCCACTGGGCTCCGTGCACCTGGAGGAAGGGGCAGCTTTCCAGATTTGCACAAAAGCTCTGGGTGGACTGGAGGAGGAGGCCCAGGGTTAGAGAATCCCAGGCTGAAGGCTGTGGAAGGGGCTACCAGTGGCACCAGAGGGCCAGTCCCATCTTTAAGGAACTGATCAATAGGTGACCTAATTGCCACATGGTTCTGACATGCTTCTGACAGCCCCCAAAACCCAATGGGAAGGAGTTCCACCACAGCCGCCCATGTTGCCTCCTCCAGCAAGACCCAGGGGGAAGAGGATCTGTAGTGCAAAGGATGTCACCCATTCCGTGAGATGCTTGCTGGACAAATTACCGGTCAGTTGGTCAAGTGTGAGCAAGACTCTCTTTCTAGCACTAGGAGACAGCTTCCCACAGCTGCCCTTGAGTCCTCTGATTTGTTTTCCTACTGGCAAGGTGCTCAGATTGTGATAGAAAAAGACATCCCTTTTAGAAATGGAAACGAGGAAAAGCCACAGGAGAAAAAAGTCTTGCGCTTTCCATCACCTCTGCCTGAGAGTCAGAGGCTTTCTGGTGTAAGGAGAGGTTTCCAACATTTGACAGAAGAATTTTGGTGAGCATCTGGTGATCCTATCTCTTAGCCCTGGCCCCAAGGAGGAGCTGACTGGCTTAGACGGACTTCTCTCTACGGGCTCCAGTTCCACCTATACCCGCTCAGAGGCCTCCTGGTGTAAACTGTGCTCCTTCAAAGAGAATGCTGACCAGTTTGGCCGTGATATGTATCCCTGTCAATTAGGAAACTGAAGTGGGCAGTTTTTGAGGGTGCTCATCCAGGCACCTGAGTCACTTTTTGCAGGCTCGGTCACCTCTCAAGAAACTAATCTTCAAGATTCTAGACCTGCAAGGCTGGCCACAGAGCACAGAGGTTTAGTAACAGCCTCAAAGCCTTTCCTGACCAGCAGCGCAGAGCTCTCATGCCTGTTAGCCCCCACGAGCCCCTCCCAAGTTCCAGGAACCAGATCGCCGAGAGGAAAGGGAGGTTCCAAGAGCACCCCAGGACCCAGACACCTCATCTTGCCCAGATTCAAGTTAACCCCCAGCACTATGAGCAACCACCCTATTTTGAGGGAAGGAGAGACCAGGTTACCCCAAAGAGCCTATGGGGAGCCTGAGCTGGTGCTCACTGCCTTCAGTGAGTATTTACCACGCCAGAGAACACCCACTACTATGAGTTACCCCGACTAGGCCCCTGCCAGGCTCCTTACCTTTCCTGGACCAAAAGTCATTGGCCAGGGCTGATCTTCTGTTGTCAGTCACCACCAACTCGGTAAAATCCATGTCATCCCTGGCAAAGACCCGCTGGATGCCACACCAGTACCAGCCTGCATCCTCCTCGGTCAGGCAGGACACAGTGACAATGAGCTGGCTTCCTGTGTCCCTCAGGGCCACGCGGTCAGTACTGTTGGGTGTGAAGACGATGATGCTGCAGTAGTCCCGGAAATAGCCTCGGCACCAGTACTTGGGGTGGTCCTTATAGTAGGCATCATAGCTGCAGACAGCAGAAGCCGTGTCCAGCACAAAGCTTTCCTTGACCTTTTCGTCCATGACCATGGCATCTGTAGAAACACACGCACACACACACAACATCACTCTTGTAAACACACTGCAGTTCCTGCCGTCCTGGAGAAGAATTAATTAAAGGATTGGAGGCTGACTTTTGCCTGTTTGGGGTTGGCAGCTGTTATGGGCTGACTAGTGTCCCCCTGAGATTCGTATGCTGAAGTGCTAACCCCAGTCCCTCAGAATGTGACTGCATTTGGAGACAGGGCTTTCCAAGAGGTAATTAAGTTAAAATGGGCTCATTAGAATGGGCCCTAATCCAGTACGACTGGTGTCCTTAAAAAAGGAGACTAGGACACAGACAACAGACAGAGGGACGATGTGTGAGGACGCCGTGGGAAGGCGGCCCTCAGCAAGCCAAGAGACAGCCTCAGGAGAAACCAACCCTGCCGACGTCTTGGTCTTGAACTTCCAGCCTCTGGAACTGGAAGAAAATACATTTCTGTTGTTCACACCTCCCAGTCTGAGTGTTTGTGAGAGCAGGCCTAGCAAACTCACACCCCGGGAAGTCTTTCCCCACGGCCTGAGGGTGGGTGAAACGTGGACGGCCTTCTGCAAGAATTTAGGAGGCCTCTCAACGGCGCTCGGCGCAGGATGAAGAGCCTGAGGCTTCCTGTTGGCAGATCCTCTGCCCCTTGTCCCCCATTCCACCTCGGCACCCCCAAAAAGAAAGTGGGAAGCTTTGGAGGATTCTAGCGCTGAACACAGAGGGAGTCAGGCTCTGTCCTTAGGGGCTGTGAACTTTCTATTTCCTCCGGACAAAACCAGCGTAGGCACCTCTGTCATCTAGGATATTGTGCAATGAGGAAGTTGTGTACACTGTGTCCAGCTTGACAGCAGCTGGGGACATGTCTGACCAAGGAGAAGAGATGGGGGCAGCAGAGCACATCCCTCTCTCAGTCTTCCCGATGTGTGCTGGGGTCCCTCACATGCTGCCTCGAATGCAGCTCACAGTGGGTTCCCGTCCTCGATGCCATTTGATAAGATTTGATATTTTATCCTCATATCAACCTCACAAGGAAGATCGTGTGGTGCTCAGTTTACAGGCTTGCACGCTGACCCGGAGAGAAGGCCAGTAACTCTCAAGGGTCACAAGGCTGGAGGGCGGCAGAGCCAGGGCCAGCCCAGGGCTCTGAGGCTCATCTTTGGGGTCACACATGGGCAGAAAGCAGAAAGTCCTGTCCCCATGTATCTGCACAAATATTTTTAAGGAGAGAAGGGGGAAGGGAAGGAGAACCTAAACTGAAAGAGAGAATATAGAGCCCCCACCTTAGCTGAGGGTTTCAGATGCCCCACAACCTTCTTAGCAGAGCAAATAACAAGGACTAATTTGGACAAGAAGTATTCTCACTTTCTTTTATTTTCCCATCCCACTCCTTAGGTGGTTCAAGCTAATCAGCAGGACTTCCAAGTAGGAGAAGAGATGAAAATGCAAGGTCTCTGGGAAGGCTGGAGATGTTCCTTCCCCATATCTTACCTGAAAAGACCATCAAGGAGAGCAGAATGAAGAGCCTCATGACCAGAAGGAAGTGAACCTTTAACTGGAATGACACGATGTACCCAGGGATCTCAGGAATCCTAGATCTGTTTAAGGGAAATAGATATCTTTGAACTTAAGATGGTTTTTTCCTATTTGGAGAGACCAGGGAAAAGGGAACAACCAGTTAATCCAAGCAGCACTGCTATGTATGGGTATCCAGGTTGTGCACTGCACAAGGGTACCTCATCAGAGGGATGCCATTCATGGACATAAACTTTCTTATACAATAATATGGGGTAACTGAGAAAATTCTGGGCTTCATGGCAGAGCCCAAAACACCAATGGAGATGCCCCTTCTGGGTAAATCCACCTGAGACAACAGAGCCTGTACACACTCAGAAGAGCATGTGCACACACACCATCACTGGCACACATTTGTGGGTGCGAGTGGGCTCTGTCCTGCCAATGGTCCAGGTATCACCAGAGGCCCCTCCTCTTGTCCACCTACCACTCTTGGAGGCCCAATTCCTATTTAGCTAGAGGAAGACTAGTAAGGAGATTCTTGACCTCCCAGACTCCTGAGTGGACCCTGAAGCCTCACCCGGGGAATGAGGTTAGTGGGTGGACCATGAAGCTGTAGGGAGCAGATGTGCCTGCCCATCTGGAGCATGTGAGCGGTGAAAGTGTGGGTGTTTGGGTGTCAGCAGCCAGGGCGGCAGCCTCCGGACTTCTTGGATGCTCTCCCGGGCAGAGCTGGGACAAATTAAGAAGAGCTGTCCCCTGATTCTAATGGGACTCATATGACCTGACCACTGATTTTTAAAGTTTGAATTATGGAACCACCCCTCAGGTGAATTTAAGCTGAATGCTACTTATCACACCCCAGACTAGCACTTCCCATCAAGGGCCAGACCTGGATGGTTGTCCAGGTTGCTCAATCATGTCCTGTCTTGAGGAATGGGAGCCTTTCTCTAACTCACATGAGGTCAGAATATGGGCCAGCTGCAGGCCTGCATCACGGTATGTGTTTTACCTACATTGCCTCATTTCCACCTCATCAAACCTCTATGAGTTCAACAAATAAACTTCAAGGTGAAAAGAATAGGAAGGAAGGAGGAATCTATAGATTAAAAGGAGCTTAAGAGGGGTTGGCCCCATAGCGTAGTGGTTACGTTCAGCATGTTCCACTTTGGCGGCCCAGGTTCACAGATTCAGATCCTGGGCGCGGACCTACACCACTCATCAGCCATGCTGTGGTGGTGACCCACATATAAAACAGAGGAAGACTGGCACAGATGTTAGCTCAGGGTGAATCTTCCTCAGCAAAAAAACGGAGAAGAAGAAGAAAAAAGGGAGCTTAAGAAACATAATGACAAACTGAAATATATGGAACTTATTTGGATCCTGATTGAGGCAAACAATTGAGGAAATTAAGATGGTGAGTAGATTGTTGATGATATTAAGAAATTATTGTTAAATTTTTTTCAGATGTGATAATGACATTGTCATAGCCAGCTTCTAAGATGGCTCCTGGTACTCATGCCATCGTGTAGTCTCCCCTAAACTGAATCAGGGCTGGCCCGTGTGATCAGTTAAATACGGCAGACGTATGACTTCCAAGGCTAGGTCATAAAAGGTATGAAACTTCCACCTTAGTCTCTTGCACTGCTCCTTCTTCGGGAAGTTAGCCACCATATTGTGAGGACTCTCAAGCCACCATATTGTGAGAGGTCCATGTGGAAAGGAACCAACTTGCCAGCATCAACTTTCCAGAGATGTGTGACCCACCTTGGGAGTGGATCCTCAAGCTACAATCAAACCTTCAGATGATTGCAGATCCAGCAACCTCCTGAGAGACCCCGAGCACAAACCACTCAACCAAGATGCTCCCGAACTCCTGACCCGTAGAAACCACGACATAATAAAGGATTATTGTTTTAAAACTCTGAGTTTTAGGGTAATTTATTACACAGAAATTCATAATTAATATAGATACTATGGTTGTATATTTTTAAAGCAGTCCCTTATCTCTGAGAAAGCTGCATGCAAAACAAACGCTAAGAATTGCTCAGAGATGGCACCATGAAACATCATGAAATCGAAGAAAGTATCAACGGAAAGAGAAAAGGATTGTGCCCAGATATTAGGAAAATGCCCAAGACATGAAAAAGTAGCATTCTAAAGTAAACGAAAGGCCCAGAGTTAGAAAGAATAAACAGATGTATCTATCAGCATTCTGAGTACAGATCTTCCTCCGTTTATGTTGCAGTTGCCAAGTTTATTTGTTGACCTCATAAAGGTTTGATGGGGAGTAAATGATGTGTCCCAATAAACCCATCATAAGGTGAAAATGCATTTAATACACCTAACCTACTGCACATCACGGCTTAGCCGAGCCTACCTAAAACATGCTCGGAATACACACGTTAATCTACAGTTGAGCAAAATCATCTAACACAAAGTCTGTTTTATAATAAAGTGTTGAATATCTCATGTAATTTATTGAATACTGTACTGAAAGTGAAAAACAGAATGGTTGGATGGGTACAGAATATGTCGTAAGTGTATCAGTTCTTTACCCTTGTGATCGCGTGGCCAACTAGGAGCTGTGGCTGCTGCCACTGCCCAGCATCACCAGAGAGTATTACATTGTGTATCACTAGCCTGGGAAAAACACCAAAATTCAAAATTTGAAATGCAGTTTCTACTGAATACATATCACTTTTGCACCATCGTAATGTCAAAAAGTCGTAAGTTGAACCATCATCTATCAGGGACTGTCTGTATTACATGGTGTTGTTAGTTCTGTTCCTACCTCTTAAAGGTGGAATTAATTCTCACTCTTTAGATGTGTAAATAAGAAGATAAATGTGTAATAAGATTAAACGAATTGATAATTTAAAGAATATTTTTTAGAAATACAAACCAAGGGGCGGGCCTTGTGGCATAGTGGTTAAGTTCACACGCTTTGGCAGCCTGGGGTTCATGGGTTTGGATCCCAGGTGCAGACCTACACATTGCTGATGAAGCCATGCTGTGGCGGTGTCCCCATAGAAGAACTAGAAGGACTTACAACTAGGGTATACAACTATGTACTGGGGCTTTGGGGAGAAAAAAAAGACAAAGATTGGAACCAGATGTTAGTTCACGGCCAGTCTTCCTCACCAAAAAGTATAACTTAAAAAATAGAAGAAATGTGCCCAAGTTCTCACAGCTAGTACAGCCATTGTGGTCTGATGCTAAATCTGAAAAAAAAGTTCTTTCCGTCACAATATTCTTCTTCCTCAATAGGAAGAATACCGCAAAATTGTAGAGCACATTAGAGTTTACAAAGAGACTTTACAGACACCACGTCATCCGAGTGGCTGGGGCAAGATGTGACTTCTTATTCCCATCATACCCAGTATGGGATCTTAAGGCAGAGTTTCTCTAGAAAATATGCATCTGGCTGTAAGAAACTGAATACACAAACAGACAACAGCCGGACAGTATATAAAAATAGAACTCTGGCCTACAACCAGCCCAGAAAGCCAGCCTGCTAGAAATCAGACTTTTGGGAAGTCAAACCATTATCTCTAGCAACAGTTGAGAGCTCCAAGCAATAATCTCTGTAACAACTGGCTTAAAATGGCCAGGACTTGGTTAACGACTGACAGCTTTCTTAATTTTTTCCTGCTTCCAACTTGGGACCAACCAGAGAAAGGCAAACATGCGCCTCTAGCAATCACGCAGGATGCCCTCTTCTAGTTAGCGTGCCTCCAGCTTCTCCAGGGCAGCAGCATCCAACCAGGCCACACCTGAAGCCTTTTCTTTTTCCCACTAGTAAGCTTTCCCATCCTCTGCCTGCCTTTGAGCCTCTGCCAGGACGCAAGTGACAGTGGCTGACTCCCTTGCTCTAGCAAGCTCTGAATAAATAGCCTTCGCCCTTCTCATTCAGTCATTGCTTATTTCCACCATTGACTTGACTTAAAAAAATGGATAAATAAGGCCAGCTAATCAACATCTACCTTGGTTCCAGTGAATTCATATGGAGGAGGAGGAAGCAAACCTTGGTTTTGTCTGGGTGGTCTTTTTACCTGATTCGTTTAGAATAAACACCCAACAGCCACCCTTCACTGTTTAGCCGAAGGGAGCTAGTGGGAGATGACTCAGTGAGACTCCTGTGACATAATCTCTAAACCTGAAACCAGGTTGGAACTCACCACTTCCACCCAAGCTCCTTGCCAACAACTCTTGGTTCATTTTTTCGAGTCCACACCAAAAGGCGTTTCACTGTAAGAGCTTCTTCTGGGCTGGTGGGACCCCTTAGCTCAGGGGACTCCCTACAAACCCTCAATGGGTTTGCGAAGCAGTGGCCATCAGAAAGAAAAAGAAAGAGAAGGGGAGGCAGGAGGAGAAGAGAGAAAAGGAGAAAGAAAATAAAGTCTTTCCGAAGCTCAGGAGCCACAGCTCCTCTGATGACACCGAATGACCAGCAAAGACTGCTGTTCTGTTTTGAGGGAAGTGGTCACTTTAAATCGTTTCCAAAAAGAGCAGGAACAAGTGTTGCTATAGCAAGTAGGTTAGAGATTGTAAACTAAGAAGCATTGTGTGACGATTATGTGGAACTGACAACTAACCAGCACTTCCCTCAAGTCTGCAACTGGGCAGATGGTTCCTGGGTGGAACAGGGTGTCAAGGGGACCAGAGCCCAGAGTAAACCCAGGGCCTCGTCCCTCTGGGCATTTTAACTAAACACAAAAGTAATTCAGGGGGAAAAGCTTTAAATCAAACAAGGGGATACCACTAAGAAAAAAAAAAGTTGGGGGGGAGGGAGCTTGTATTTTTAAAGAAAAAAGGTCTCCTAAAGTGTTGAAGGAGAGATTGTCAGTACTAAGGTAACCACCCACATCCAGTACCCACAGGAACACTGGGCTGTGCTCCCGGCCTCTGCCTCTAAGACGCCGTTGTGAGCGGTGCTGGGAAGTGGGTGGGTGGGGTGACCAACTCAGTTTGGCATTACTAGGAAAGTATACACAAGTCTTTTAACTGCCCTGATAGTGTTGATTCTTCTTGGGGTTTCAGGAAGAGAAATAAGGAGCTTTGCTGAAATAAAATGTTAGCAAGATAAATATGGTTATCGGGCTCCAGCCTAAGATTGGGGTTAGGATAAACTTTCAGGACTGGCTAAGAATTAATAAAAAACATTTTCAGTACATCTATCCTCTTTGACATGGTTTCACTGAAATCTGTATCTTGCTGTTCTCGTCAAGTTCATGTATTTATTATCTTAGGAGTGAGAGTCCAGAGCTGCAAATTTGGGTAGACTACAGCAGAGATGCCACGCTGAATCCCCAGAGCCACACTCAGTGCTCGAATGATGGGACTGGAACTCCACCTCTCTGGTGTCCCGATTAATGAGATCAACGATAGTAGCTAAGGCAAAAAACCCAGGCAGTCCTCAAGTATACAAGCCGTAGTTTGTACCCATGTATCTGCTAATTATACATTAGGTGAACTTGAGAGTTTGGACTTTGGAGAAGTTACAAGTCCCTCTTCATGTCTGAGAACAGGTGGTGAGAAGCTTGGGTTCTCCCATAAGTCAGGGCTGAGTTTAAATCCTGGCTCTACTTCTTGTTAATCGTGTGATTGTGGACCAGTCACTTAACCTCTCTGTGCCTCATTTTTTCCTTCTGCAAAATAGAGATGATAATAATGGTGGTACCTACCTCAAAGATTGTCATGACCAAAAGAGATGTTGGATGAAAAGTGCTTAGTGCATAGGAAGTGCTCAACGAATAACAGCTATCCAGTGTCTCTTTTGACCCCTCACTACTCCCAGTAAAATGAGACACCAGAGGAAATGATTAGGACTCAGCTCTAGAGAGAGAATCATTCTTTCTCTAACAATTGATTAACGGTTCATAAAGTTGAAGAATGCTTTGATCAGAAAAAGGAGCAGGGTGATCTGGGGCAACGGATGAAGGCCCCAGAATTCACACAGGTGAGCATGCCGCATGGTTCCAGGTAGCAAGCAGGCTGAGTGTCAAGAGCAGTCAGCTGGGTCTTCAAGCCCCAAGTGACCCTCACCCTCAGCAAAGAGACACACAACAGTTAGCTGTCATCTTTCGTTTATTCAAATGCTTTTAAGGGTGAATTCAGGAGTTTAAGTTCCCCTTAAACTCAGTTCACTCCTTCTGTTCCCACCATCTCCCAGGCATCTGCTGAGCAGGCATCTTTGCTTAGCTCCACGAGGGAGTGGAACTGAATCTCCGTCATGGACATATCCAGCTTGATTGGAGCCTTCTGTCAGTAAGTCAGTGAGGCATCCCTCAGACTCTATGATTTCTCTTCCTATTTGAGAAGGAGGAACACAGGCAGCAGTAACAATAGGACATTGTCCTCAAGTCAGGCATCCAGAAAATTGAATTAGAGAAGGACAAGAAAAAAAATAGAATTAGAGGAAGAGGGTTGTAGAGGAAGTAGAAGTGGAGGCAGCCAGCCAAATGTTGCCCACCTCGGTGGAAGGAATCAACGATGTGACAGCCGTTGGCCCAGGTGGATAGACCTCAAGTGTTTGTTGATGCTAAATCTGAAGGTCAATGGGATGGAGAGTCATCTTTCATGGTTAACTATTCAGAGTCTGCTCCATGCTTGAGTCCAAGGAATCAGAAGATTGGCAGATCATACAGGTTTTGAGGATCAAGAGATAGGTTTCCTTGAACTTCTTTATTTTACATGCATAGACAATAGGGTTCATCATGGAGTTAGCATGAGACAACAGGATGCCCAAGTACAGTACAGTTTGTGGTACCTCACCGTTAAAGTATGTGATACAGTTGATGATCGACAAAGGCAGCCAGGACAAAGCAAACAAGAAGAGAACCAGAAACAGAGACTTGGCTGTCTTGAACTCCCGTCCATAAAATGCACCTGTCTCTTTGGAGCCAGAAGAGTTCTGACTGAGTTTGTTCCGGATGACAAAGAAGATGTCCAGATAGATGGCACTCATGACAGCCAGGGGGATGAAGATCCAGGTGAAGAAGCTGAAGTAGACCATGTAGTCCATGCTCACAACAGAACGGAATTGGCATGCAAGGCTGTCATTTTTGGACCCTGAGGTCAGTTTCTTGTTCCAGCCAAACATGGGGGTCAATCCCACCAGGAATGATACCAGCCAGCAAAGGCCCAGGGCCAACCATATTCTTCTTTGAGTGGTGACCCTCTTGTATCTGTTTGAATGGAAGAGAGTCAGTGAGTTCACAGCAGGAATTGCTAAGGAACTGGAGAGCATTGGTATTCTATGGTGATTTAGGCTGAACTCTGCTGGATATGAAGATGAGCAGACAATGATTGGAGAAAAATCCAGCCAACTTCTCTGGGGACTTTTCTAAAGAAGTACCATGTAGAGTGGATCAGGAATATGTTGCCTAGAGTCAGGCGCTTGCACGCCCCACTCACAGCTCCATTTCCAGCCCAAGAATTCTTCATTTCCTAGGAGGTAAGAGCTATCTAAGTCTCCTGGGACTGCCTACTAGGTGAGAAATAAACCCCTCAAAGCATGTTTGTCTCCTGTGAAGCGCATTGTTTATTTTGGCTATGATGCTGATGCCCGTAAATAGACTATGCCCCTCTGCTCTTCCCCTCGACATGTGCCCGCCCCTGCGTCTCTGTTTGCACTGGCATCCATACTTGGTGTTTGAGTTAAATGAGTCTATGGAGTTGCGATGGTGGTGAAGGGCTTCTGAGAACTTTAAAGACTCATCGAACGAGAGTTACCATTTCTCCTTAAACCATCCTTCCTGACAACACCCTATTGTCTGCAAAAAGGAAACTGAATTTGTTAAGTACCAACTATGTACTCAGTAGACTTTATCTCAATGAAATCCCACAACGAACTGGAGATATTTTTATGATAATCTCCATTTCATTAATGGCAATGCTGAAAATAATAATAGTTATAGCTACTGTCTATTGAGCATCGACTGTGTGCCAGGCATTTTTTTCTAAGAGCTTTACATGTATTAACCCATTTAATCATATGAGGAAGATGAGATTATTATCTCCACTTTATAGGTGAAAAAAATGAAACAGACAAGTAAGTATCTCGTGCAAGCTAGAAGTGGTGGAGCTAAACGGAAAAGAGATCTGAGTTAAGAGCATCTTAACCACTGCGAGATGTGAAGCAGAGAAAGTTAAATAACCTGCCCAAGATCAGATCTCAAGATCGGGGTTTTGAACCCAGGCTTGTTTGTATCGAGAGCTTGTTTCTAGCTCCCTTGCCATGCTCTCTCCCAAGAGGATGGAGGAGAAACACCAGATGGGAGGAGATGGAGTTCAGGACAGCTGGGGAATCAGATTTCTTCATTTGGCAGGATGTTCAGTTCACATGGTCACATGAAAGGTTGTTACTACTTTCTGCAATGGAGAAATTTTTTGACCCCCTTCTCAACATAGAAGAGGAAGCAAAGTTAAAATAACTTTTAAAATAACTTACATTGGCAAAGAACAGAACTATCAATTTATCTCCTCTTATCCTTAGCTCTCTGTTCCTTATCTTGTCTAGTACATTTCTATCATTTCTAAAAGTCAAGAGCATTTTTTACTAATTAAAAATGCATCAAGCTTTCATCTTCTTTAGCTCCCTTGGGGGATGGAGCATATACTCCCAGAGTCGGTGGAGAGCAAAGGGAGAATTCTTCTGTTTCTAGTTTCTGAGTCTCAGCTCATCATTGTTAAACCTCACACATGCCAAATGGTGAGAAGAAATTGAGTGTCCTCTTTCAAGTGCAGAGGCCAATTTGGATTTGTTTTCACTCAAAGGGTCTGGGATCTGCACTTTGTATCCCCATTTCCCAGGCACCCCATCACTGCTCCACCACCCCTCTTGAAGAGGTTACCTGATCGTGAGCTTGACCCGCAGGTATCGGTCCACAGCAATGGCCAGCAAAGACATGATGGAGGCATGGGTGAAGACAAGCATCAGGCAGGTCATGAGAAGGCAGCTATAAAAGTGGATTGTGATGCTCAGGCTAATGACAATGGCCAAAGGCATGACCAGCACGCCAACAGCAATGTCTGCCAGGGCTAGGGAGATGATGAAATAGAAGGTGGTGGTCTGCAGGCTGGGGTTCAGCTTGACCACCCAGATGACCAATACGTTGCCCACTATGGCGCAGAGCCCAATGAGAATCTCCACAGTGATGTAGGTAGCGGTGGCCCACGACAGGGCAGTGCCATTGACAGGCATCTTGCTTTCCCAGAGGAGCTTCCCAGGGGACAAGCATGCCATCAGGATCTGTGTGGGCTGGTGAGCCTAGCTCTTGCCAGACATCTTGCCCGAGGTCCAAGTACAGCAGCAACCATCTAAAACTCACAACTTGACCATTCCTTCTCTTCTCTGGTGGGGCGCTCTCTTGCAGGACTCCCTCTCCTTAGAAAGAGCCCATCAGAGGGCAATCACTTCCAGCCCCTTTGTAGGCCACGCATCCCTGGGTTCCTGGAAGCCTGGCGGACAGCTCTATGTGGACTGAATCTGAAAGTGCTGCTGCTCTTAGTTCCCCAGACAGACACGCTCAAGGCCTCTGCCTTCCCCTGCCCCCAGAGGGCTACTCAAGCTCCATCGAGATAAGCAGGCCTCTTCAAGGGTGTTTCAGGAAGTGAGATGGGCTTAGAGGAAGCACAGAGCCAAGAACACTCAGCAAGAAGAAGGAAAGAACAGAGGAGGGGGTGTGAGCGGCATGGAGACACATGGGCCAGATGAGAGTGTAGCACTGGGTGGGAGAGGAGCTGGGAGCCCTGACTATGCAGTATTCTGGCTTTCTGCTAGCTTAGCAGAGAGATCTTGTGATAAAGAGGCAAGCAGGGAATGCAGAGGAACAAGTAATAGACTTTAGCGGCAGCCTCTAACCTCAGCCAGAATTTATTCTTTCTTAGTGCATGCTATAGACTGAATGTTTGTGTCCTCCCAGAATTCATACATTGAGATCTGGTCCTCAAGGTGATGGTGTTTGGAAGTGGGGCCTTTGGCAGGTCATTAGGTCATGAGAGTAGAGCTTTCATGAATGGGATTAGTGTTCTTACGGGACCCCACAGAGCTCCCTTGCCCCTTCCACCATCTATGAACCAAGAAGTGGGTCCTTATCAAACATGGATTCTGCTGATGCCTTGATCTTGGACTTCCCAGCCTCCAGAACTGTAAGAAATAAATTTCTGTTGCTTATAAGTCTTTGGCATTTGGTTATATCAGCCTGAATGGGCAAAGACAACGCAGAACAGCAAGCACTGAGATTTGACCGTGTGAGTCGACTCTGCTGGGCACAGCTGGAACCCGGCCTTGGTATCAAAGATCTTGTGCCAAAGGGACAAGCTAAGATTCCCTGCTCAGAAGAACAAAACTTCAACTCCTCCCATAAGCATCACAGCTGCTGAGCCTCCATCTCCCCTTCTCTACCCACACATCCACCAGCCCTCACACTAGCAACCAGCCTGGGTCAAATCTATTTGAGGAACAACAGGATGACAGGATGACCAGCCATGCAGAAAGGAGGGAAAGGGCACCATGCTGCGCACATGATCACACGGCATAACCTCCTACCCTCGTGCCCCGCACCCCACTCCCACGCTGCAGGAACGGGTGTCTTCCTGGGAATCAGATTCTTTCCCTGAAGTTGCTCCCCTAGTCTTAACTCCTGGGAACCAGACAGTTGAATGCAATTGTTATTTGGGGTCCACCTAGTTTAAGTGTCTCGGTGCCCCCCCAAAGTGATTATTTAGAGAGACAGCAAAAGGGACAGTTGGACCTAAGCCCACACAGCGGATTGAAGAGTTTATAGCATTTACCCTAAGCACCAGTCTATGTACAGCCAAAAATAAAATGCAACGATAACAACAGTGTTGTTCTGGTGTTTACTAGCAAATGCTTTTCACAGGGGCGCGGGCAAGATGCCTCAGCACGGGGCCTGCCAGGGTCTTCTTCAGTTTTCTGCTTCTACGTCACCCGTTGATTCCCCCGCCTCCTCCCAGGTCGGTCCAAGCTTATCTGAAGCCTTGCTCACCCTCACTAGACTTGCCATTTCTCCGAAAGAACTCCCCAGACATGAAGGGGCAGCCCTCTCCAACTGCATTTCCGTGTCTCTGGCACTTTGCAATGTCCCAGTGCCCGCATCCCTGCACTGTGGGAACTCGAGAAGCTTCCCAAGCCTCCAATGTGGCCTGTCATGAATGTTTCTACTGCCACTGCTTTTTTATCTCTGCTTTGGAGAAGGAAGCCACAGGGAGCGATTTCTAGAAGGCTGCGTGCTACCGACCCAAGTCATTCTCACCCTAAAGCAATCATTGAATCTTGGTGACTCGCTGTACAAAATGTACCCTCCGCTCGACCCTCAGCCACCTAGTAGCACCAAAGAAGCTTATGTGAGAGAAAGACCCTCTGGTACAGGGACGAGTCGTGTTGCCCGGTTGTGGCGATTGTACAGCCAAGGAGCAGGGTTCCTGGAGGGCTTGGCAACCCTGGTCTGCCTCACAGCCCAACAAGGGGAGGCCAAGGCCAGAGGGAGGGCCCCCCTGTGGCAGAGGGGAGCACAGACCTTTGCTCTACGTTTGAGAGCTGGTCGCACAATGGACAGCTCCCACATTTTGGAAAAAAGAGAGAGAGGCCCTTGTGTGGTTACGGGCCAGGAGCCGGGGGAGGGGAGAGGCGGTGGGGGCCAGGAAGAGTGCCTGAGCGATGGACCTGGCCCACGGGAAGTGGACTGAGGTGACAGGGATGGATTTGACAGCTAGAGATGGAAACCTGATGTGTGTGGTTTTGGATTCTTGCCCCTTTCTTCTCCTTTAGGACCCAGGTGAGTCCTTTTGGGACCAGCCTATCTCGGTTGGGTTAGAAGAACCAAAGAGAGGAGTTTTGTCCAAGCACGGGTCACAAGAGCAGCGTGGTGGGGACAGGTAGCCCGTGAGAGGATAACCCACAGGCAAACGGAGAGGCAGGGGACACACTTGGGGCCACCGACCTACCTCCTTCTTCCTACCTGGGGATTCTGTTTCCAGAATTCTCTGCACATACTTGGGGAATTTCCTCTCCATGAACATGGGAAGCTTTTCTTTATGTGTTCTGAGTAGACAGAGCCCATCGCTGCTCAGGGGGGCGATCTGAGGGGTGAGGGTAAGGCTCTCACAGTCACTTAACATTTTGGCCTGGGACGGGCCCTGCCTATCCTTTTCACTCTAGGTTGAACACCAAAGGGCAGTTGGGGACAGAGGACAGAGATGCCAGGGCAGATGGTCACCTCGTTTATCCACAGCCCACAGCCACTGTTGATTAAGTAACTTTCCTCATCATTTCTCACGTAGAGACTGCCTCCTAACCCATCCCCAGATGCGAGTCCCCCTACAGCCTCCAAGCTGCCCCCATTTTTGAAATGGCGCCGGAGTCTCCCAGCCTCCACAGCTTCCTGTCGCCTGGTTCCCCCAGAAACCATAAGCGCCCCCATGCTGAGCACAGGCGGCCCAGGGGCCTGCTCTTCCACTCCCACACCCCTGTGCACATACTCCCTTCCAGCCAGGAAGGTGTTTCTCCCCCGCGTCCACCTGGAACACAGGCACTTTTCCTTCAAGACTCTTCTCACACAGGACATTGAAGAAAACTTCCCAGATACCACCCGCTCTGGGACCCCAACATGCTGTGTTTATACAGCCCTCCCCCATTATCTTGTAAGCTCATGGAGGGCACGCACCTTCACTTCTCATCTCTGCGTTTCCTACCCTCATCACAATGCCTGGCAGAGAGGAGGTGCTTGGTAAACTGATAAATGAACGGATGGGAAAGCGCCTGAGTGAACCAGAGGCATACAGCCAGCACCGAGTGTACAACACCAATATATCAACTAGGACCTGTTAAGCACTTTCCATTATACCAGTTAGCATGTTAAGCATTTTACTCACATGCTCTCATTCAATGCTCTCTGATGAATTGGATACTGTCATTACTGCTGAGCAAACTGAGGCTCAGAAGGGTTAAGTAACCTGCCCAGGGTTGCACAGCTAGGAAATGGCAGAGCTGGCCTTCAAACCCAGGCCCCTGGCTTCAGAGCCCAGGTTCTGAACCACAGCCCTTGGTAAATGAATGAGCAAGTGAGCCACCACATGAAGCTTTCACAAGTACAAGGAGACCCTGGACTTCATGTCGCCACACTACCAATGGGAGGTTCTAACCTCCCGTCTGGAAAAGAAAGTGGCCACCAAGACTGCAGGCACAGAGCTCAAGGGCAGTGTAGGTCTAGCACCAGCTCTGAGTCAGGAAGAGATGGAGGAATCCGAGAGATGCTTGTACAAGGCCACCGGGGGGGCCAGAGCCCCAGGAGGCGCTCTGGCCAGAAAGAAACCTTTCACGGGATCAACGTGCCAAAAAAATTATTTTTAAATAAAATAAATTATAAGTGAAATATGACTCAAGAGATTTTCCCATCTAAAAGAAGGACCATGTCTGCTTCAATTCTACTAAAAGAAGTTGAACTTCCTGGAGGAAGCCAGGATCTGGGAGGAACCGTGGGCCTGAATGGCAGGGGAAGCAACTGGAGGCCTTGGGAAAGGCCTCACCTGTCCCAAACCCCGGCCTGGAGCCTCCTTGGGCTGGCACAACTGGACACAGCACAACCACAAGGCTACAATCTTGCCTTTGGGGTCTGGTTCACATCCTGCGTGGTTAGCCAGAGACGGTTCATCTGATCCTTTGCAGCTTCTCAGAAAAGCCTGGGAAACCCCCGCAACCAGGCTGCGGTAGCAAGATGCGCCTGAATGGGGGCCCAGGAAAGGACTCTGGAGCCCCAGAACCGGTGCAGGAGGCGCTGAGACAGGATGTCTGGTGGGCAGAAGGTGGCGGCTTCTGCCCGGGGCTGGCTTTCACTGACTGACTGCTGGCGGCAGAGTTGCACAAAATCAGTTTGCTCACTTCCTCTTGGCCCCCTCGCCACTTCCCTAAAGCCTTATGTTTTTACAGAGCTTTGTGCTTGCTAGCCAACAGCAGAGGCTTAGAAAGGACGAGAGCTCAGAGGCACTCCAGGAAGGGGTCCTGCCGTCACTCCCCCTCACCCAGCACTCCTCCCTCTCCTCCTCCCAGTCAGCCCAGCGGGAGGAGGCTGGGCCCTTCAGATGCCTTCCTCCAGGGGCTGATCTGGAGCCGCTGTCCCCAGAGGGCGTCTTGCTAGGGCCCAGTGACTTGAGCCACCCGAGCTGTGGTCAAGGAGCCAGGGCTCCCGAGGCCTGTAGTCTGAGTTCAGGAGACTCAGACCCAGTGGCGATGGGAGGGAAAGGTCAAGGTTCCTGTACTCTGAGCAACAGGAAATCCTGCCCAGAGAAGGGGAACTCCTCCAGGCGCCCATGCCCCACCCACCAGACCCCCACCCACGTCGAGTGTGTCACAAGGCCCCCGGGCCCTGGTGGAGACTCCAGAGAAGGGTTCAGCTAACTCAATTTGTTCCAGGTTCTATACACTTAAAAGGCGAGGAAGTCGTGGGTTCCCAGCATCAGCCTCAAGCGTCTGCAAGGCTTGTGCCTGTGTCCTGGCAGGGGCGCTATGCTCAGCATTGACCACCAGGTGGCAGCACATTTCCACTGTCACTCAGGACGCAGGCTGAGAAAGAAAACGAGGAGAACCCAGAGGAGCCCCTTCAAGCACTTAACCAGCAACCTCAGATGGTGGGGAAAAGGAAAGAAGCGAGAGTTAAGGCCAAGGGAGACAAGGATAGATTGCCAACTGCCTAAATTCAGTCCCCTCCCATAGAATATCCCTGGGCGGTACCAAATTCAATCCTCTTCTTTCAAACCTGTGAGTGTTCCAACAAAAACAATACTCGTGTTTTCCTTCCTAGTGTGCAAAGCTCCTTGCACACTCCACCTCGCTAAATTAATACAACTCCACAAGGCAGGTACTCGTCTCATCTCACAAAAGAAGAAACTGAGGCAGAGAGGTGGAGATATCCACTCCAGGATGCACAACTGGAAAGAGGCAGTGAGGACGGAACCCATCTCTGGCCTCCTCGCTCCGTGGAAAACAGAGAGCCCGGAGGGCTTGCCGGTGGGAGGTCCCACTGGGACGGTTAGCTCCCTGTCTACCTACATCATTGTTCCCTCCCTCAGCCCCTGCCAATCTCTGCCCTCTCCTCTTCCTTCTATGGGCACAGGGCCCACTGGTCAATTTTCCTGGCCTTTGCTCGCGAACTTTCTGTCTTTCGGAACCCGTGATTTCTCAGAACGCCTTCACAACCCAGCCTGCTCTGCGTCACAGCCCCAGGCTTCTAATCACCCACACTGGACGTCTCCCCAGTCCACACAGAGGTCAGGCCTCAGGCCCTGATTTCAGGTGGGCCTTCTGTAGATCCAGATGTTGACCCCCACGCCCTTTAACTAAACACCAGAAGGAGTAGGAACGAAGTCTGAATAGAGCAACTGCTGATCCTAAATGTTTACATCAGGGCCGGGTCCTAGCCCTCTTCTTATCTTCGACCTAACAAACGTGATGACACTCCTTAATGAATGGGGAGCAAACCCTCCTGCCTTGGCAGGAGGTAAGTGACCTCCTCTGTTTTGATGACATGTGTCTTCGCCTCCCAGTCCACAAGACCTTTCATCTTTATTATCCTAAGAATTGTCATTGACAGAATGCCCACTAACATGTGCCAGGCACTCTGCCAAGGCTTTTACACGCATCGTTTACAATGCTACAGCAACCCTGCAAGTGAGTATTACCAGATCCATTTCACAGATGAGGAAACTAAGGCTTGGTGACAACTTGTGACTTGCTCTGGGCAATACAACCAGTAAGTGGCAGAGCTGGGACCCAAACCCAAGTCTATCTTGGCTTCAAAGCCCTGGCCCTTCCCGATGAACCACGTGAAAACAGTTCCAGCTCCCAAATTGTCATTTTGGGCAGAAATTCTTGTTTCCTACATCAGCCATCTAACTGAGGGCAGTGTGTCATCATGTCAACTGTCTGCTCTCTAGCTTCTGTTGAAGCTCAGCTAAGATCGTTATTCTGGGCCCGTGGCGAGTGGCCAGCCATCTCTCCCACTACAGTCTCTCCATGCTACTCCTGTAGCTAATCCACAACCTGACAATGACATTGTAAAACCATATTTACTTTAGTTCTCTGCTGAAATGCCTTCCCAGATAACCTTATTCTCTGTGCCTTTTGTGTGTGTGTGTGTGTGAAGAAGATTTGCCCTAAGCTAACATCTCTGCCAATCTTCCTCTATTCTGCATGTGGGACGCCACCAAAGCATGGCTTGATGAGCCATGTGTAGGTCTGCGCCCAGGATCGAACCCATGAACCCTGGGCACAAAAGTGGAGCATGGGAACTTAACCACTACACCACCGGCCAGCCCCTTTCTCTGTGCTTTTTATAAAGGTAAATATAGAATGCTGTCACATGAAGTATGTCTCGGCATTTCTTCATGACTGAAGATGTCATCTGATACTATGTCCCTTGTAGAAAGTTTGTTCACATAAATTTCTCTGAGGAATTCAGCGCTCAAAAGAGGTTGCTTTTCTTAATAAACTAGCCTGCTTTGTTAAAGTGCTCAGTGGGAGAGCTTTGTATAACTCAGTTTTGCGTGGGAAGCCAAGAGGCCGGGAGCTGGTGTTCTGGCTCAGTAATCCTGCTTTCCTCAGGTTTTCATGGCCCCTATACGCCCATGTCATCCCTTGGCCCCTAGTGTGTTAGTGAGTCTATCCTGCTCTCTCCTTTTACTATGAGCAGCTTCCCCTCCATTTTGGAAGTAGGCAAGGTATAAATAATAAATCTATAAAACGAATGTTAGAAGGAGCATTAGCGTTTATTTTGTAGGCATGTCCACACGTTGATTATTCCAGGCTGTTATACAAAGATTCTTGTCAGTCCTCCCATGTCTTCGGGGTAAAGATTTTTTCCTCCACAAATGGTGCACAATCATATTGTAGATTATCAGTTTGGGGAAAAGAAAAAGAAGAATCACGAGACTGAAAATGTCCTCTGGGGTTCAGCAAGCCCTTTGAGGAAAGCTTTCAATACAATGCTTGAGGCATCAATATCCAGCAATATCTAGTAAATGCTCCCTTAGGAGTGGTGCTGTATAGGGCATAATATTATGATTCCCTCAGGTGGGGTTTATCTTTATTTATGTTCACCCCCCCTACTTCCACAAAGGATTGAAGTGCTTCTGGGCTGAGTTAATAGCTTCCCGCTCTGTACTCCGTCAGCTTACACGTTCCTCTCTTTGAGCACTTGTTACACTGTTTTGTAGTTATTTATTTACACAATTGCTTCTCCCACTTGCTAGTAACCTCCATAAGAAATTATGCCTTATTTATCTTTATATCTCCCCGCTACTCTCCCTTCTCTCCGCAGTACCAAAGGCTAAAATAGTACCTGGCACGCAGGAGACGTGTAATAAACTGTCATTGAATGTATAATGTATTGTTCTCAGGTCTGTCTTTTTCTCATCTGGCAAGTATGCTGACCATAGTTCTCTACATCCAAAGAGCAAGCGGAGGGATTCAGGAAGACTTCTTTCTCAACAAGAATAGCTTTTTGCATCTATAATCTCAAACCAGTACAGATAGAAAACAGCATGCAACCAGTCTGAGTCTAGCCAAAGGGACCCTTAGAGAGACAGTCTGATATTTACATTACAGCTTGCAGTTCCAGCATTTTTATGTACAATAGCCCATTTCATTCTCTCATCTCTGTGATACATCTAAATGGTGCCATGTTACACACACACCCACGCACACAGATGCACTCTCCATCGTCTCACTCTGTTCGTTTCCTATGTTACCTCTTTCACAAGCAGAACTCGTTTATTCATTTCCTTACTTGTCCTGTCCCTGCTCTGTGTGCAGGACCTAGAACCACCTCTGGCCTGAGCTGGCCGGTTTAGTCTGACACATGACATGACGGGGCTCACGAAGTCGAGTGACTTGCCCCAGATCACTGTGTTTGGTGTGGGGTTTCCAAGAGACAAGGATTTGGGGTGGAGTGGGGAACCAGAGGAAACCAATGCCCGGAGTGTCAAGTCCAAGGAGAAACCCAGAGCAAGCAGTTGGGCTTCTTGGCTAGCAGAAA